TTAAGGTAGCACAGCGAGGTGGTGTTGTGCATAGCAAGTTTGAGGATCGCTTTGAGAGCGGCGAGCGAGGCCTGTTTTGTCACCACCGGTTCAGCTGGTACAGCTCGTCGATCGCATTGTCGTAGCCCGGGCGATCTCGACGGAGTCGGCAACCGATTGTGTGCCATGCCGCCATGCCCACCCATTCCTGAAGGATGGTCCATATTGGGTGACCGCCCGGCCTGAGAGAGACCTCGACCTGGAACTGTACCCACTGCGTTGTCGGATTGGGCACCAGCTTGCGGACGCTCTTGAAGTGGTGTAAGGTCTCCTCCGTCACGTTCTTCCTGATCTCCACAAGCTGCCTGAGTAGGTCCTCGGTAGACTTGGTGGCCGCCTGTGGTACGAGCTTGAGCTGCTGGGTCTCGGCACACCAACGCAGGACTTGCCACTGCTGGTGGCCGTCGATCCAGTTCAGATCCCGGGCCGCCTTCATGGCCTCCTGATTTGCTGCCGTCTCCTGGAGCCGCTCGTGGAGGCTCATGAGCAGCTGCTTGAACAACATGATCTTTAAGGAGTACTGGATCTTGGCCGGCTCTTGCTCCTTCATCTCTCGCCACACTTCCGCTGCTCTGAAGAGTGTGGGGATTATATTCCCACTGTCCTCCCCCGTTTTCACGAAAAGGTGCATGACCAGGTCCTGGCGAACCGAAGCCAGGGTGCGTTCCTGTCTGAGAACCACCTGGGTGAGCTTCCTGAGATGGTATTGCAGGTGCTCCTCCGGCCGGTTGTCGTGCGAGCCCGTCCACGGGGGTCCGTGCTGGCCGTAACCATCGGCGTAGTCCTCCCATTGGCTGGACCATGTCGGTTTGGGCAATTGCTTGCCCTTTCCCTTGCCTTTTCCCCCCGTCTTCCCCTTGCTTTTGCCCTTTCCCTTGCCTTTGGGCTCTCTGCCTGCTTCCGTTCTCTGGCTTTTCTGGCTCTCCTCCGCCTTCAGATCCAATCCTCTCTTGGTGGAGAATCTCTGAAAGAACTGGGTCTCCTCGAGATCCAGGTCCATGTCCACTTGGGGCGACGGAGTCATGGCGAATCTGCAGGTAGGCGCAGATACTAAGAACAGGGCACTGGAACCAATGTCGATCCTTGTTAATGGCCTGTTGGTGGCAGTATCTGCAGGGTACAACGGTGTGTCTACGAAAACCCTTCATAAGCTGTTTGGCGCGGTCCAGGCACTTGAGCCAGCACGAGTGCTGGGTAGCGAGATGGCGTTTAATGCTTGTAGTGTCAGCATGCCACTGGCTGCAAAGGGGGCACCTATGCTTAAGATACTCCTGGACCGAGGATTGGTTCAGTAGTGTAGTCCATGCACCTTTGGCCAGAGCATGGGCAACTAGCTGCCACTGGATGAGCGGCGGGGAGGATGAGGCCTGGACCGTTCGGGGGACATCAGCTTCGGTCACTGAGGCTTGGTGAGGTTCGGGTGCTCGTTGTGTCCTCCAGGCGTGGCATCTGTGCCATCGAATATGCTGGGAAAGATTGTGCCACCTTCTGAAGTCGTGGTGGCAGAAGGCGCAGATTGGCAATCCCTGAGTCCCGTGCGCAAGCTTATCAAAGACGATGGTACCTCCTTTGGGGGTTCGCTTCTTGTGGTGAGCAGCCTCGTGCACCCTGAGAAGGCGGAAGGATCGAAAATGTTCCCCACAGTCCTGACAGGTGTATGCTTCCAGGCCAGCGGCATCCGCAGGCTCCGTCTCTTCCCCAGTTATCACACATTTAGCCTGCAAGGAGGCGGCCGTCTCTCGGACCATGTCCCTGACCTCTGCTGCCAGCGGGTGGAGCTGGTTCTGCAAGTTAAGAAGGGTATGACACAGTGACTCGGCTTCGGACGCCAGTCTGAGCTGAAGTGGCTGAACCCCGATCCTGGCAAGCAGCGTGGCGGTGGGTTCCTTGCTCAAGTGGGCGAATGATCTGGTAATGGCCCGAAGGTGCCTTGTGGCCACATGCTGCATACGCTGAATGTCCTTATGTCCCGGGGATGAGGCTGCCACGCCGTAGAGCATGGTTGGCAGGACGGTGGACTGCCAAAGTTTGACCCGCTCCTGTGTGGGGAGAGAGGATTGCGAGCACAATATTTTCCGGAGGCGCTGCCACGTGCCGTTGGCCTCTTGCAAACGGTGGGTGACCGTTTGTTTGGACGGTGAGTGGTAGCCGATGACGACTCCCAGGTAGACATGTTTGTCCTTCAGCGGGAATTCAAATAGTCGAGCCTTGGGAGTGCGGATCCGGATGACATACCCCTCCGGTGTGCGGACTAGGTGCTGTTTCAGCCATTTGCGCGCGAAGTGGCCTCTGTGACGCATCAGGAACGCTGACTTTTGGGTATTGATCTTCATGCCATGGTCAATAAGCGCATCCAAGACCGAGGCGAAGCGATGATGTGCACGCTCAAGTTCTCGGTATGACACTGCTGTATCCTGAAGCAAATAATCATCCGCGAAGGTGGTCGCGCCTTGCGCAAGCCACTGCGGGTCGAGGATTGCCTCCAGACGTCTGTGTAGGAATGCGGTGAGAAGAACCCATAGTAATGGTGCTATTTTGCATCCTTGGCGTAGTCCGCGTGTAGCCGAGACTGAGGTGCGGAGCCTCAGGTGTTGGATGTGATATTTGAGGGAATTATAGCAGTCAGAGACCCACGCTTTTATATCTTGAGGCACATCCGCGTCCTCGAGCGAGTCCTGCAGCAAGCTCCAATCAACCAAATCGAACGCGCTTGATAGGTCCAATGAAAGTTGACATCCGGCATAGGCCTT